TAGAACAGTACCTGGCACATCTGAAATGACAGGTCAGTATTTGCTGAATTTATTAAGTCCCAAAGCTGCTCAGAGTAGGAAGAGCTCTCCATGAACTGGAGTTCTGGGGGGAGGAAGGTGGAGAAGGCAGGCTTCATGGTGGGACTGGAGGAGCAATTAGGATTGGCTGAAAAAGACTGGGACTGAGATGGAAAAACCAGGAAAGGGCATTCCAAGAAAGGAGAAAGTTGAAGTCCTGCTGTAGGTGAAACATGCGTGGAAAATTGGAGCAGAGCCTCAGATGAACACGGGGGGGGGGGGGGGGGGAGAGAAGGAGAAAGGAGAATGAAGTGAAGGTCAGAGCCAGATCCCAGGGGCCTCAGATGGCAGCCAAGGGAATTCAGAGTTCAATGGGCTGGCAACTCAGAATCTTGCTCTTGTCCCAGGGGATGGGGGCAGAGAGAGCAGATATCATGGGGCGGGGTGGGGGGGTGCTTGGAACTGGCTACAGGGAGCTGGGGAGATAGCTCAGTAAAGCGTAAGCAGGAAGACCTGAATTCAATCCCCAGAACCAATATATTAGACAAAAACAAAAAAAGGTGGGCTTGTAATTCTGTCACTAGGGAGGTAGAAGCAGGCAGATCCCAGGGACTTGCTAGCCAGCCAGTCAAGCCAACTTGGCAATTTTAAGGTCTGTGATAGACCTCTATCTTAAAGGGGAGTGGGGTGCGTAGAAGTGAGATGGCTCAGCAGGTAAAGGTGTCTGCTGCCAAGCCTGGTGACCTGAGTTCCAGCCTCAGGACTCACATGGTGGAAGGAGAGGTCAAGTTGTCCTGTGACCTCCACCTGTGTGCCATGGTGTATTGGTGTGTTTGTGTGTATGTGTGTGTGTGTGTGTGTGTGTGTGAGAGAGAGAGAGAGAGAGAGAGAGAGAGAGAGAGAGAGATTTTTTAAAATTTTTATGTATTATTTTTATTTTATGTGTGTGCATGTATAAGTGCACCCATGTCATGCAATGCCTGAGGAGGTCAGAAGAGGCTGCTGGATCCCCTGGGACTGGAGTTACGGACAGTTGTTAGCTGCCGTGTGGGTGCTGGGATTCGAACCCGGGTCTTCTGCAAGAACAACCAGTATTCTTAACTGCTGAACCATCTCTCCAGCCCATGTGTGAGATCTTTAAAAAGGGTTGATGGTGCTTAACAGACAACACCAGAAGGTGTCCTCTAGCCTCCATGTGCACACACATACACACACAAACATACAGGAACAAACACACACAGAAAAGAAGGAAGGAAGGATGGGCTACATGGTTACTCTTGCTGCCATGGTAAGTACTACAGCCTTTTCTAGTTCTACTTTGGGGCATCTTGAATTGCCTGGACCCCAGCCCCTCTTGCTTCTAGCTCTTACTCCTAGAGATCAGACTGCACCATAAAAGTTGGTTGCATGCTCCTGGGGAGTCAGAGCAACAGAGATGGGGAGCAGCAAGGAGTGAGGCAGTGGCTGCTTCGGGTCTCAACAGTGGCAGGCTGGTGGACAGGCCAGAGACAGCAGCATTTTAGAGCAGTCGTTTATTTCCATCCATGTGTCCAATGGCAAGAGGGAAGCAGGGCCTGCCTTCACAGGGCCTGGGACTCACTGTACATAGCTCAATGGGAACCCAGAATGATGGCTGTGAAGTCTCAGTGTCCTCTAAAACATCCACCCTTCAACATCTCAGTGAACTCAGTTTTAAATACAAGGCTTCAGACACCTCTTAATTTATTTGACCCCTGCCATACTCCTAGGTATTCCAGTAAGCCTGATTCCTTGGGGAAAATGTCAAAGAAATAACAGCTACTGGGCCAGATATGGCATCTCACACCTTTGATACCAACACTCAGGAGGCAGAGGCAGATGGATCTCTGTGAGTTCAAGCCCAGCATGGTCCACATAATGTATTCCAGGCCAGCCAGGGATACACAATAAGACCCTGTCTCAAAAAAAAAAAAAAAAAAAAAAAAAAAACAGCCTCCTCCAACCACCACCACCACCACCAACAAAAACCCAAACAAAAACAACATAAAAACCAAAACAAAGCAAAAAACCAGCCTCACGCAGTGTGATGCTGCCATACTGGTGAGGGCGTGCTGTCTCGAGTCCAAATGAATCACCAGATACCAGACAGTTCATAAGCTGCACTAGCAGAGGCATCAGGGTAGGTCCCAGGGCTCCAAAGCCGACCCTCTCCTCACAGAGACTCTACAGCTGCTGAATGACATGTTTGACACCCAGAAAGACTGGATGTCCCAGAACATTCAACTTGAGGCCTGGCCACTTGGCTTCTCAAGCCGTGAGACCTTCCGTGTGTTACCAACTCCCTTTCAGAAATCCATCTGTCCATCTAGAGAGGGTGGTTGCTGCTTTGGGGGCCTGCCTTACAGAGGGGAGGGCCAGGTTTGGAAGATAACCCCCCAAAATGTGTGAGGATGCCCCTGACTCCCAAAGCTGGGTCTTAATCATTTGATGCAAGAGATATTTATGACATTGAACCCTTCTGCATGCCTGGGGACATTTCTCAATAAGGCTCACCTGCCCAGCTTCTTCCTGACAAGCTTCATGGCCAGGGCTGACCTGGGGACACCTTGGGTCCTCAGTGCAATCTTCTAGAACACAACCTCTGAGACCACTTGCTTGTTTCCATACCTCCCAAATGTTACCTGAGGGAGGAAGTGACACCCAGGCGGCTGAGTTAGCAAAGAGGAAACAGCTGTGCTTTCTGCCCCTCCACTGGGCTTTCTCTGGCCTTTTGCTGTCACTTCCCTTTGACCCGTAAGGAAGCCACCCTCCCCAAGCCTGGGTGGAGGTACATGTGGGATGGGGCAGAGTCCTTTCCTCTGTGTGTGTGTGTGTGTGTGTGTGTGTGTGTCTGTGTGTGTGTGTGTGTGTAGGCAGCATGCACTCATGCTCTGAAGCCATGTCATTCATGTGATCTCTCTCTGAGATCCCTGGAGTATGGGTGACCTTCAGACCTGGCTGATCACTCTTATCAGATCTGACCACAGCTCCAGGGAGGAAGGGGTGGGGGTACTGGTGGTGAACTTGTATCCCAGGTGGGGTAAGGACCTGGTTTGTACTTTTGCCCCTCACTGTGAAGTGCCTGGTAGAGCACCCTCCCTTCTCAAGAAATCTACTCACTTGGTAATAGCTGAAGGAGACTTTGACCCCCGCTGTTACAAAACTACCATATATTTTGTGCCAGGCGCTGGCAGCCTTCTTATTTTCAATCTGTGGTCCCAGGTCAGCCTTCAAAGTTGCATTTCTAACCCCATTTAACTTAGAAGTTGGAGTTTAGAAGAGAGTGGTAGTTGCATTGTCAGTAAAGCACGTATTCAGCCACATTTGTCCCTTCCCCTAGCCTGTGCCCCGTCTCATATTGTCACTGTGTTTCACACACTTGGATCCTCTCCAGGGCTACCCCAGGGGTCATGAGGACTTTGCAGTCCAACACTTTGCCCTTCTATGGAACATGCCCCTCGTTGGGAACCCTGCCCCATCGTTTCACCCACCTAGGAATCCTGAGCTAATAGGGTTGTCCCTGTCGTTTGAAGTGGCTTCTTTGTAAACTTTCATGGAGACCCAGTTCTGATCCAGCTTTATTCAGTTTCCTGATGGCTGAAACCCAAAAAGCTATTTTAAGGGACTTGCCTGTGTGGGAGAATTTCTGTGTGTGACAGCGCAGGAGGCGGCCTAGCTGCCTGGCACGGGGCTGGCTGTAAGGCTCAGAGAGGGAGCTCTTTCCTGAATTCTACCTCCTAGACAAGGGTTGATGACTTGAGCCTTCAGCATGGAGCCTGGCTCCTAGCACTGATGAGATTGGGGTGTGCAAAGATGGCTTCTGCTGGTTTAACCTCAGTGGGTTTGCCAACTGATACTTCTCTCACAGAGTTAAAGTCTATTATAGAGCAGTGTCTGAACTCTGGTTTCAAGCCGGGATTAATTATTTACTTTAGTCATCTTTCATTGGCAACTTGAGGAAAACAGCTACCTTGACCCTGTGGTTTCTGAGCATGGTAGCTCCCAGGCCCTGGAAGTTGAGGCATTGAGTCCAAGGATGTATACAGAGGAGCCCCTACTAGGTGCATCCACTGGGCTAAGGTTTTTTGTGCTCAGGAGACCCCTGCTATTTGCTGAGAGATGTGGCATATTGCCCGTCCCTGGTGATATATTGGGGAGCCAGGGTTTGAATCCAGATTTCTGCACCAACAAAGTGGCATTTCTACGGTGCTCCTTGGGGATTTTTGGAATGCTACTGAGCTTGGGCTACTGGGTAAAAGTGTGTCAGGGGAAAGTCCATCATCCCCTCATTATATCCCCACACCAGGCTGGAAGCATCCTCAGGGGGTCAAAACCAGCTCCATTGGTCTTTCTCATTCCTGTCTACACTCCTTATGTTCTGGTCTCTGTGGCTGTTCCCTGGGGTGTCCCCATGGGCATCTCCACCTTGCTGTGTGGCCCTGGCAGGTTATAGAACACTGCCCAGGCCCCATAAGGAGTAGAGTGACCTAAAAAGTGTCCTGTGGCTTCGGAGATGCCATTTCTGACAGCTTCCTAAGGGGCTGAGGCCCAAGGAACTCATCTTATGGGTCATGGGTCCTAGACAAAACTTCAGGATCTGGATGAAACCCCAGTTCACTTGTCTTCTCTGACCTCTTCCAAGTTCCTCCATTAACATGATGTGGTTATGGGGCTAGAGAGATAGCTCAGAGGTTAAGAGCACTGGCTGCTCTTACAGAGGACCTGAATTTGGTTCCCAGCACCTACATGGTAGCTAACAACTGTCTTTAACTCTAGTTCCAGGGGAATCCAATGCCCTCTTCTGGCCTCTGTGGGCACTGCACACATGGGTACATTTACATTGATGCAGATAAAACACTCATACACATAAAATAAATTTTAAAAATTAAAAGCATTATGTGGCTGCAGGTTGTGGCTGAGATAAATTTTTTATTTCCTTTGAACTGTTGTCGAGAGCCATTTTTGAGTCCAGCTGCCAGGGGCTCTATGTATTCTCTTTAAAAATGGGAAATATCATGGCATTGTGGTTGGGAGCAGGGGGCAGTTTAAATGCCAGGCCATGAAAACCAGAATAACCCCCAGAGATACTTGGATGACAGCAGGTGGAAGCTGAGGTGAAGATGATGAGGACAGGGTGTTGGAAGCTGGTTATGAATTGTGGCCCTGGGTCTCATTTGCTTTTTCACTTGGTTATGTTTCTTCAACTCCATGGACTGCAGTCTCCTAATCTGTAGAAATATAGAAATCTTGGGAATAATCATAATACCTACCCCACATGGTTGTGACTATGTGGTGATCCACATAGAATGGCTGTTCAGTAAGTGACAACCATTGTTACTGCCATCATTATCATCTCTCATGATTTTGTTTCTGTTGCCTTCTAGAAGATTCCATCTTAAATATAAGACCTCGTATCTTAAAATATTTCCTATAAGGCTTTACTGCTTTGAATTTTAGTTCTCATTTAATGTCAAGAATAACTTTAGGTTGTTCAGCTTTTAGAAAGCTGTTGCTTACTCTCATTCATTTATTCATTCACTTATCTGTTCACTATTTAAATGTTTCTTATGTGCCAAGCACTGGAAGCACAGAAGGGCAAATAAGAACCCTGGCCCTTTGGACTTGACAGACTAGTGGGAGAAGCACTATACAAACAAAATAGATAAAATGTATTGTGTATTAGGTGGAGAGAAAACTAGAGGACGGTGAGGGATGTCAGTGACACTGGTCTGGGGAAGGGCTGCTGTGCTGTTTTGTAGAGGGTAGCTGGGGATGGCTCCATGTGGAGGTAACTTTTGAATACGGCTTGAAGGAGTCAAGAAAGTGAGGCATGTGGGTATTTGAGAAAGAAAGTAGTTGGTAGGTGGGGGTATCAGTATGTGCTAAGGCATTGAGCTAAGTCCATAGTTGGCCTTTCCAAGGAAGAAGGAGGACACTGGGGTGTCTGAGTGGAGTGAACTAGGGGAGAACAGGACACAATCTAATCCTTTTTCATCCTGAGAGCCAAAACACTGCTGGAGACATTTTACTAAAGACTGCTTAGGGTTTGATCTAAACCCCCTAGGAAGACCCTCTGGGCAAACACAGTCTTCATCAACAGAGACACGGATAGGAACTCCAGGGCCCCAAACGCGTTGCACTCCATAGGGAGTTTTAGTGGCGGAACATTAGTCTTGGACCTACTGTGTGTAAAACGCTGCAATGAAAGCCACGAGGTAGGGTTGTTGAGTGATAGTGAGCAGTCTTCCATCTTTCTTGTTTCTCTCATGCCAGCATAGGCTCCAGGTCATAGTGGGCCTTCAATCAGTGTGGTGAACCCATCGCCTCTGGCTACTGTAGACTGAGGCTTCATCCTATGGATGCCCCTTCCTCCAATATTACTCCCATTTTACCAGCCTCCACTTTCCAGTTGTGGAAGCTGCTTGTTTGAAACTCCACACAGGCCCCTCCTACTTTCAATATTAAGGTGCTCAGGTCAGCCCACCAAAGGTCTGTTCTCTTGGGTGTCTCTAGTTAACCCCAGTGTGGGCTAGCCTGGGAACCTAAATGCTATGCTTAATATCTAGGGAAACTGTTTTCCAGGGTTCACAGTGCAAAGGAACTGCCAAGGCTAAAAAACTTAATGATGATGGTAACACACCTGGTGTGAAGGTGCTGGCCACTGACTCATTTAGTCCTTACCACACCCCTGTGAGAAAAGCACCAGCTTAGATCCTTGCTGTGTTGACAAGAGACCAGAGGCAAAGGGAGATTGATTTACCAAATGGTTATCAGCCAGGAAAAGGCAGGACAGAGACTCTGAGCTTGGTAGGGGCAGGACACCAGAGGCCTTTGGGAAACTCTCTCCCTCTTCTTCCAGAGAATCCCACTAGCTAGCCATGGGATGCCACAGCCTAGACTGACTGTGTATAGATCTTCCATATAGGGTGCTGGTTCTTAGATGTTCTCCACTTAGAAGAGGGGGGTTAACAAGCATCAGTGTGAGAGGACAGAAGCCACAGGGGGCAAGCTCCTCTCTCTACCCTAGACAGGAAAAACCATTTGTTGCTGGAACTCCACACTGCAGGGGGTGGGTTTTCTGTGTGAGATCTGCCCCCCCCGGGGGGGCCATTTACAAATCAGGACTGAGACACTGTTTGTTGGTGGAGGCCAGATTAGGGTGTCTGGCAAGATACTTTTGACACCTAGGCAATCAAGGAAGGCCAGCAGGTGGTTTGGGTAGTGCTTTCCCTGGTGGACAGCCCCAACCCTGCCCTGCTCAGTTTATTGTTGGGACTAGACAGGTCTTAACCAGTCCTTGGGCCCCAGAAATAAACAGCAGCTGTTGTTGGCTTTACTATTGCTGCATTCAGTCTGTCAGCACACCTAAGCTCTTGCTTAGCCTTGCTCCTCAGGGGTTCAATGGCATTGGACTTGGGACCCTTTAGTGTACACCTACAGAGCCTGCCCAGCTGGTATGCACTGGCATACCCCTCCCAGACCTGATAGCCACTCACTGGCACCACCCCTTTCTGTCCTAGGGTGAGGTAGGCATGTTTGGGCTCCAGAGTCCCATATCAGTTCAGCTCTTGCCTCTGCCACTCACCGGGTGACCTTGAGCAGATAGCGAAACTCTGAACTTCAGTTTCCCTCTCTGTAAAAGCAGCTAATGATATCTCTGTCTCAGGATGCCATAGTATCTCTCTCAGATACAGTCTTATGTATCCCAGGCTAGCCTCACACTTGCTGTGTAGCGAAGATGATTTTGAACTTCTGATACTCCTACCTCTGCTTCCTGAGTACTGGGATTTTAGGCATGCACCACCGCAGCTGGTTTATGGTGTGCTAGAGATGGAACCCAGGACTTTGTGCATTCTACCATTTGAGCTACATTCACAGTCTCTGGTGCAGTTATTGAAGGCAGACTGCCTGACTTGAAGTTGAATTTTGCTACTTGGTAGCTGTGTAGTTTTGAGGGAGATGCTGCAGCTTTCTGCATCTCAGTTTTCTGGCCTGTGAGATAGGATAATCAAACCACCATGAAGCTGGTAGTGAAAGTTAAATGGGCTAATGTGTGTAAAACAGTCAAACCTGTGCCAGCTCTGGAGGAAGGGCAGAGTGCATGGAACTGTAATTCTAAGGGGTTCTTCCCTTGTCGGGTCAGGCAGACCATTCTCCAAAGCATTGTGTGCTGCCCAGAGTTGACAAGCTAACCTGCCTTTGGGTCTGGGCTGCTCAGCTGATTTGCTTAGCTCTGTTTCCACCCTGTGGTCAGAAATTCTACTTAAAGG